ACGAATCAAAAAAAAACACCGCCATTACCACCCACATCCTTGTTCTCCAAACGAATGGAGTCTATTGTTAACTTCCAGCTCATGAGGTAGCTTGAGGATCACCAGCTGATTAGTGACCGCCAATACGATTTTCGCCGTGGTCGATCAGCTGGTGATCTTCTGGTCTACCTAACTCATAGATGGGCGGAGGCAGTAGAGTCCAAGGGGGAGGCATTGGCCGTTAGCTTGGTCGCGAAGGCCTTCGATCGGGTTTGGCACAAAGCGCTTTATTCGAAGCTCCCTTCCTATGGCTTCCCGAGAAATTGTGCGATTGGATCACCAGATTTCTTGCAGATCAGAGCATCAAAGTCGTTGTAGACGGTGCAAGCTCCGATTATAAGCCTATTAATGCTGGTGTTCCACAAGGCTGCGTGCCAACGCTGTTTCTTCTGCATATCAATGATATGTTGCAAACCCGTAACATTCATTGCTATGCAGATTACAACACTGGTGATGCTCTGTACACCGACTGTGCCAACATTTCTCGGGAAAACGACTCCGAGTACCGGGACAAACTTGTGTCTGAAATCGAGTCTTTGCTGAACAGAGTCTCGGATTGGGGGCGACTAAATCTAGTCCAGTTTTACCCTCAGACTACACAAGTTTGCGCGTTAACCGCTTAAAATAACCCCTTTGTCGTATCTCCCCAGTTTCAAGGCACTCCCCTTGTTGCCTCAGCCAGTATCGGTCCCCCATCAGACGTGCAGTTTCGTGATCACTTGGAAGAGAAGGCCAAATTAGCCTCTAAAAAGCTTGGCGTGCTTAGCAGAGCGGGACGGTATTTTATGCCGGCACACCGCCCGCAACTTTACAAGGCGCAGGTTCGGCCGCACATGGAATTCTGTTCCCATCTCTGGGCTGGGGCTCCCCAGTACCAGCTCCTTCCACTTGACCGCATCCAGCGCAGACCTGCTTGTATCGTTGACGACCGAGTGCCTTCCGATCGGCTCGATTCACTGGCGCTGCGAAGAGATGTTCATCTCTTTGCATTTTCTTTCGCATATACCATGGAGAGTGCTCTGAGGAATTGTTCGGATTAATCCCAGCTGCCAAATTTCGTGAACACACTACGCGGCAAACGCCCCGATACCATCCACACTCTCTGGATGCTTGGCGGTCCACCACTGTACATTTCACAAGCAGTTTTTTTCCGCGTACGACCTCTCTGTGGAATAGTTTACCACCGGCGATTTTACCGCACCGATACGACCTGGCAACCTTCAAGAATAGAGCTTACTCCTTTCTAAAAGGCGGGCAACGCACCTGCAATTCCCCTGGTGTTACGGTTGATCGCGGTAGTCACTTAAAATCAGGTGAGCCGCATGCTCGTTTGCCCTCTCTTCTATAAAAAAAAGTTTGGGATTTATACGCCTTATTCACGATCTATACCACCTTGCCACATATTTATTTATAATACATGTTCCCAGCTGTACGTCCGCTCAAGGCCGCGGTGCTGGACACTAGACTGTAGTGTAGAAAACACACTATCGAGCTTAATCGGACTTAGGGCTCGCGGCCTAATTTATTCTCAACTTTACTTACGTAGCGATGTTCACGTACGTAGCCGTCCGAAGAGAGGGTGGCGAATCCCGGCTTTGGCGACTAACTCATCGTTGGATGTTCTGGGCAGTGAAGACCTCCTAGGGACGTGGTACACCCGTGTGTACGCGGTGTGGAGGGGTGTTCGGCGCACTAGTCTGCGGACTTGCTACTCCCACCCGTTGCCCTCTCAAAGCAGCGCCGAGACATTTCCTTAAAATGTTCAGAGATCATCGGAAGTAGATCCCTGTGCAAGTCGAAGTTTCCCTGGTACTACCGAGCTCCGATGGCTAAACGAAAGAATCTATTTTGGACGACTTGGAGGTCGTAAAAATTATGATGAGACGTGTGCGCGATAACTAAGTTTGCGTATGACATGATAGGTCTTACGCACGCTTTAAATAAAGATGGGACTTGTGTCTTAAGGATAGTTTGTTCTTGATGTTAACTAGCAGGTGGAGGTAACTAGTAACGAATTTAGCACGGTTGTGGACATTGCGAATATGTTACGCGAAGGTACTACTGTAGTCAAATGTAACACCTTGGTGTTTGGCCGAAAAGAGCCGTGCAGTATTAGTGTAGATTGTGAAGAGGAGTGGGGAAAGGACGGAACCTTGAGAAACTCCAGTCCTAAGGATTCACTTCGAAGAGCGAGTTCCCCCCATTCGACACCGGAAATGTCAGTTTACAAGAAAGGCTGACGATATAAGTGAGCCTATAAGGCTCGTTGAGTTTATACAGCTTGTAAACCAAGCCGTCGTATCAAACTTTATCAAACGCTTTTGCGACATCGAAGAAGAGGGCACCGGTGTTAAGGGTTCCATAATTACTTATGTGGGGGGAACCTTCCCGAATGTACTCCGTAAGGCGATGTATCTGATTAGTGCACGAGACGGATCTGAAGCCGAACTGCTCGTCTGTAAGAAGCTTGTTAGCGAAAACGTGTTTACGTAGGAGATTTAATATGATTTGCTCGTAAATTTTCCCCAGTGTTCTGAGGAGATTAATGGATCTGGGCGTTTTTCAAAAAAATTGTCGGTGACGTAGTTAGAATTCCACTTGTATGAGTTGTAACATTTAGCTTCAAAATGTAATTAAATTGATAAAATATAGTATGAGCAGTATGAAAATAGTATTTTTTTAAGAAAATAATAATGAATTTTGAAAATAATTACAATTTTAATTAAATTATGTTCTCAAGAAATTCCATTACGTTACTAATTTTAAAATAGTTTTCATGAAAACTAAAAGAAGTTCAGTATTTTTAACTTTATTAATGAAAAATAAACACAATCTGTTTTCTAAAAAATATTGATAATTCAGCATATTAGATCTAATCAAAAAAATGTTTTAACAAAGATATTACGCTACTTTTGGGTACTTTGTACTATATTTTTTTCATCCTAGAACGTCAAATATGAGAAATATTCTTTCAAAAGTTTAATTATAACAAATTAAAAATTTATAGTAAACTATATTGAACAAAAACAGTCAAATTTCTTTGAGATCTATTAATTAGTCTTAGAAAATAAATCACAGTAATAATAGGACAGTGACGTTAATGTAATTCGAAAATGACGTTTAGGAACTGTAAGGCAACGTCTATATGACTCTCAATTATGACAACAATCATGGTAACTTGTACTTATCGTATTAAACATAATATTACTAGTATGTCATTTAAGAGCGTTTAAAACGTACGGCATTTCATATAAACTTTCAAGTCCTTGTTTTCGAAATGCATGAACCGATTTTAATGAAACTTCACACGCATAAGCAGAACACATAGTTCTAAAAAGTTAGTAAAGAACATTTTCGAAATGTCTTATTTAAAACAAGATAATTGGAAATATCTGTTTCTATGGAAAATTTAAAATCGGCTGAATTTAGCTGTAACATTATTTTTCGAAAATGTTCTCATTAACTTTTTGGACCTATATATCCTGCTTATGCATAGGAAGTTTCATTAAAATCGGTTCATTTATTTCGAAATATAAAGACTTGAAAGTTTGTATGAAATGCCGTACTTTGTAAACGGTCTTAAACTGTAACAAAAAACTATTCATCAGTCCCAAGACAAATCGAACAAATGTAGTCAAAAAAGGTTGTTCCGCTACATATCAGGCAAACCCAATTTTTACATGCATTACATTTTACCATTCTTTGTATAATAAAAGGCTCATGGCAATTGTTATCTGAAACAGATACGAATGATTGGGATAGATTTTTCCAAAAAATTATTATATTATGTTATATATATATAAAAAAATATATAAATTATATTATGTAAAGTGATCGTGTTTTTGGAGGCACTAAAGTGCATTGATTGGATTTTTCATATTCATGGTTTACCCTAGCCCATTTGAACCATGATATAGCAGAATCGAGGTTTTGTTCATCATATGAAATACTCTTACAATCTTTACATTTATTGTACATGCAGTCATAACGCGTAATATCACATGCAACGATGTTCAAGAGCTCCTTTATATTCTTGTAAGTTGTGACATCTTTACACTTCAATGCATTAAACATGTACTCAAAGTTACTGTGCTTAATACATAAGCAGGTTTCTCTATTATTGATACTTGGAGACAGTACATAATAAGGCTTGTATCTGTAAAAGGTGGTGAAGCCGCATGACCCACCGTCTTTTTTATAAATTTCGTATACGTTTTTCAGTGTGTCGACTAAGTATCTTATTTGTGCTTTTTGTTTGTCTTTGGACCTGGTTTCCTTCTTACCAGCTGTGCTTTTACTTATGTCGTCTCTCAAATAAAAAAGTTCTATTTCTTCCTGAGTATTCTTATTTATTGGTCGTTGTAAATTAATCCTTTTCCTGATTCTTCCTTTAAGACCTAAAATCTTACTTTCAGGTGCTTTTTACAATATATGCGCCTGTTTCCTAATCACGTTTTTAACTAATTGTTTTTCTTTATTTTTCTTACAATTCCTGTACGTACTACGAATTGATATTTCCATTATTTCTTGTCTTGCTTTCAATTCATCGTTTTCTGTGTTCAATAAATCAAATTCGGTTTCATGTTTTTTTTCATTCGGCGTAATTTCTTTCTCAGAGTCTGTGTTGTTGTATTATATTGACGAATCGTCTTTAAAGCCTTTTTTGTAGTTATTTAACAATTTCCGGTACCTAATTTTCAATGAATGTGGAGCTGAATTATTGGATGCGTCACGTGATTGCCCTGATTGTGGATTCGGTTGAGTGTTTTTGTTTTCGTTTTTGTTCTCTCCAGAGTTTTACCTTTTTTCCATTTTCTCGTCCTCAGTGAGCTTTTTAATCTTCTTTTGTTGCTTTCTTTGTCTTCGTAATTCCTTCTTCTTAAATTCTTCATATTTTTCCGGGTTTTGTTTGATTTTTTCTCGGTACCGTTTTGACTTTTCTGCAGCCGTCAAGGGCATATTTAAACCTAAAATCAATAGTGAGTTATCATAATGTACCCCGTACGAAAAATCTCAAATTTTTGTGAAAAAATTTATATAGATTTACAAAAAGCGTTGCGTGAAATAATTGTCAAAATAAATGTGATAACTGTTTATCACATATATTTTCACGCAAAAACAAAAAATTTTCATTCAGGATACCATTAAAATTAAACACTAAATGCAGCCATTTCAACAATATAACGTAATAACTATCGTTATTTCACTGTTATTTTTCTAATGTTATCCTGAATGGAGTGTTTTGAGCCGAAATATCTAGTCGAAAAATCTTGTTTGATTTACACACGAAATTAAGTAATAAGCAATTCATTTAAAAAATTCAAGGCATTTCATTATTATTTTATTCATACTTAATTTATTTAGACTTTAGAACACTAATTAAAACAATGACTTTATGAACCGACCTTTAGGATTCTATTACGTCACTTTTGAGTTCCATTCATGCGATAGTAGCGTTAATGGAGGTAACGTAACCATGCCAATAAAATTTTGAAATGAATTTACTAATTAGTTATAAAACTTTTGTTCAATATAACATAACATTTCAAATAACAATAAATTAACATGTTTAATAGAAAATAGAATGAAATACACATGAATACGTTACCTGGAGAAAAGCAGTATCGTTTGTGGAATTATTTTTTTCACATGAGTCGAGACGACCACTTCGATTACGTTTTGTTGGCGAACTGGCTGTCAAAAATTAAATACAGCAGCCACCATAGACTAATAATGTTGCTATATTTGGGAAAATGCATTGAATTGGTGGTATTTTTTGTTGGAAGTCGTTGAAAATGCGGTCACGTACGCGGAAATTCCATCATACGCTATTTTGCAGGACAACCCAAAATCTGGTATTTTAAAATAATTTTCAACCGTAACATGTACATTTCAGGTTTAAAATTGAAGTTACGGTCATAAATGACCAGTCAAATGCAAAACGTTTGAATAATAATATAACACGACCGTATTATGTGACTCTGAAGTTGACACAGTAGATGTGGGACATACCAAAAACATCGACCTCATTTTACTTATCTTGATTTTATTTTTGATTTATAACAGATTCAGACCTTATTTTTATTTGATTTATGAGACTATATGTTACTTTATTATTAAAATAAATGATATGTAATAAAAACTTTTATAAAATTTGATAATTTATTCTGAAAGTGGCCGGACACTGACTTTTTTCAAGGTACAACTTTTTTGGAAAACGCCCATCTATATCTGAAGGCTGAGTTGCGCGATTTCCCTGGTTTCTTGATTCCTATATATAACGTCCACCGCTTTCCAAGCGTCTGGGAAGGAGCCTAATAGCCCCTCCAGACTCACACCGAGAACCTCCGAGAATACCCGAGAAGCGTGAATGTGATCGATTTCTCGCTGTCTCGTTCTCGCGCTCGCCTGTTCTCCGACCAGTGTCGGTTTTTTTGTCCGCTTCAAAGAGTTTTTTTTGGGCGAGAAAGAGAAGGCTATTACATTCTCGTTTAGATCTCAGTGTGATATGAGAAGTCACGGTATTCCGACGTTGGGTGTTTTATTTATTTCTTAGTAAGAAAAGGTTATTCAACATGTGAGATAATGAAGCAGAACTTAAGTTCATCGAATATTTCCAAACAGAGTCCATTTTGTGGGACACAAAACACCGTTATTACAAAAACCGAAGTCTTAACAATGATGCTTGGAGTAGAATTGGAGAATTAGTGGACAAACCGGTACCAGAACTCAAAAAGAAGAAGGAATCACTTTTTGCAAGTTACCGCAAATATAGAAAGATGGTTAAAGATTCATGCCGATCGGGTGCTGGGGAAGATGAAATATACAAACCAATATGGTTTGCCTATGATGCCCTGGACTCATTTTTGGGTGATGCGCTCACTGTGAGGCCAACAATAAACACGACATCAATTAATGTAAGTAGCCTTTATTTCAATAAACTTTACAAAAATTCTCTAAATTAACTTATATTGAAAAAATAGTTTTTAAACTCGGCGCGCAATGGGTGGCAAATTCCTAATAGCATTAGTGCTTGTAATTTCTCTACGCCATGCACCAGGGCGAATAATATTGTCGTCACTATCGTAAACATCAACAGTGCCTGGGGGAGAATATATTTGTGAAGAATTATTGCTGCGCGTTAAATAATTATGTAATAATATACAAGTCATGGTAATAACAGAAGCTTTTTCAGGGCATTGCTCGATTGGCCTTTTAAATACTTGAAACCTTGAAGCCAATATTCCAAATGTATTCTCCACAATCACGCCCTGTTTTTGATTAAATATTCGTTCAGGACTGTTCCTGTTGTGGTTTCCACGATAAGGTTTCATGATGTTCATGTGTAGTGCAAATGCACCATCTCCCAAAAACACATATGGTATATCAATAGTAGAGCCTGGCAGTGGACGTGGTGCTGGTAAATTTAGAGTATTATTACAAATCCTATCCCATAGCACAGTATTGCTCAATATTCCAGCATCACTTATTCTACCTTGACCACCTATATCAATTAACAGCGCCTAGACACAATACTGAAAGTTTTCTTATAATTGAAGTATTCGGAGACTGAATTAGGTGGACATGTCACAACAATATGTTTGCCATCTATTGCACCAATAGCTCTATGAAATTTAAAACTAAATCCTTTTTCGATTTCCAACCATTCTTCTGCAGACGATGGAATCTGAAAAAGAATGAATTATTTGGGTTACATGTATACCTATACATACTTATAAGATATTATTATTTTTTAGATTGAAGAACCAGGCTCTAGTACTACTGAAGTGGAAACGATCAATGAAAATAGAAACGATACAAAAACATCACAGACGAAATTACTTCAGAGCGAGTTGAAAGAAGCTGGAAAGCATGTGAAGGATGCTATAAGTATTTTTCAAGAAACCATCAAAAAAAGAGAATCGCAAACCTCGCAAGACGATTGTGACATATATGCAATGGGGTTAGCGAAGAAATTGCGAGCATTCTCTGAAGATGAAAGATTAGAAATTATGTATGAGATCGATGGTATGATTATTAATCGCCGCCGTGCGTTGCGTCCAAACAGATTTACAAATACTACAATCAATCCATCTTCTGAATACATACGATCATCATCTGCACTGTCATCCTATTCTGAACCACTGCCACGCGGAGTTGTTTATAGACACAATACCCGCATAGCATATTCCGAACCACCACAAATTCATATACCAGAAGAACAACACACACGCCAAGTTTATTTGCAAAATGAAGATGCACAAGTTGGCTCAAACGTGCAGATACTTTCAAATGAGCTGTTGTAAGAAAGTCAGCTATCTGACGTTATTTCCCTAGCTTACAAAGATGCTTAATTTATTATATAAAAAATGAAGCTAATTTCCTTTTGATTATAAGTACAATTTTCTTTTTATAAGTAGGTAAATATTAAGTCATAAATTCAGATTAAGTTCTTAATAAATATTTAAAACTTATTTACCTGTATTTCATTTTGCAAAACTTGATTTAATGCTTCACATACTTCTGGAATAATTGTAGAAATCAATTGTGGTGACACTTTAAACAAAAAATGAAGGCTTTGAAAGCTACCTCCGGTGGCCAAATATCTTAATGTTATTGCTAAACGCATTTTAGCTGATAAAGCTTGTAGCAGTTGTGTATCTTGTTTACTTATTAAAGGAAAAATCTTGTTAATTAAATATTCAAAATCAACTGTTGACATTCTAGTAAACTTTTTGAATTCTCCACTTGGTTCAGCAACTAGTTCTCCCAGTTGTTTTTGCATAGTAAAGCTGCAATAGAAAGTATTAAGAATTAAAACATCGACTTTTCTTACACATTATAATTACATCAATTAAAAAAAAAGATCTGCAAACCTTGTTCTATTTCGATGAATTTCCGTCATCCACCATCGCCTGCACCTTCTTTTTTTTTTAATTTGTTTTCTGATTTTGATATTAACAAGATTATAGTATGCAAATGCACACAAAACTAAAGCCGCTGCACTCAAAAACTTCACTTCAAAATCGTCCATACGGTAGCGAGGAGAACAGTAAGTGAGAAACATCGTGAGTGTGAACAAACACTTGTTTTTTGGCGAGAAATCTCAGCGAGCCTTCTCGCGAGACTTCTTGCGAGAGTCTGGAGAAGCCTTTAAGGAAGAAGTCCGTTGGCCTACTAGAAGACATTTTCTACGCTGGCGCTCGGAGTGATTTCAACACACTGTTGCTAATGGCATCGGGGCCGCGTGCTGATTTCTTTTTAAGATTTTTTACTATTTCTATGACTTCATCGGCAGTCACAGGATCTAAGGGGTCACCCACAGATAGTAGTGCAGACTTACGCTCGATCTCCGCTTCAACCTATAATATGTGAGTGGGATCTATGGGTTACTCGTAGCTAGAAATAATGCATATATAACATACATATATAACATATATATCTGCATACGTAATAATGATTGGTTTTGTCAATATTTGATTAAATGTCTATGAATAGGTATCATTTCAAAATTTGTAACTTTAGCTGGTAGCATAAGAATTTTTTTTGAGTAACCGTTAAACCTTCACAAAATTTAATATTTAAAAAAATATCAACAGTTTTAGTTTGATCTGATCAGTTGAACAGACCGTGAGTGGCGACCATAACACTAATGGTGAGCGGTAGATTTATTTATTAGCCCCATTGAGTTATACAAAACTAGAGGAGCAAACCACATTACCGCGCGTCGAAAAAAGTGTAACCACTATTCAACCGCGACAACGTAGCTTTGAAAATACTAAACATTTTAAATAAACATATAACTATCTAACTTATACAAGTTACGAAAACAATACCGTCGATAAGATAATATAAAGATAGACACACAAACATGCAATGGCGGGTTGATGTGGCTTATGTATATGAAATTTTACCCAAAATACGCAATAAAAAGGATTGTTTTTAAGCTGCAGTTAATTGTTTTTATTTAAAAAAAAGTATATTTTCTTATCAGATGAATAGAAGTAAGCATAACTGATAAAATGTAAGATATTTTTTCTAAGTATTTTTAATTGTACTAATAAATCAAACAATATAAAATAGGTAATAAAGTATAAAATTATAATTAATATAAAATTATCAATATAAGTAGGCAATGAAATATAATTAATAGATCATTCACGAATAAATTAAAATAAGAATAATTAATTATTTTGTATGTAAGTTAAAAACGTAGTTTTTACTATAATTTCAACAAATTAACTTATTCCATATATTATATAATCTCCCATTAATGTGGGACACTGCAATATTCGATAATTTTATTAATTTTTTTGAGGTTTTTTTACGTTTATATGAAAACGCGAGCTAAAACTTATGTGTGAAAAGTGATTCCGCTTGATGTATTATGTTTTTGTGACCTTGAATCGCATTCTTTCACTACGCATTTACCCATTATTTTTCTCGCTGATCGTTCGCCTCAAATCTGTTGGCGTCACGCTGAACACTGAACCTGTACCATATATTACTTCCCTCTATGACTGAACCACACTGAACTGACGTTAGCTAGGCATATGCCTGTGGTCATATGTACAGTGGCAACGCTTTGGTGCGTTCATTACTAATCTAGTGTAATATATAAATCAATGATTAGCCCTTATTAAATGACATTGTGTAACAAAAAACTTCACTACAGTGTCGTCTAGCGAGCTAGCGACATCTGGTGAGCGGACGATTATTAGCCCTCATATTGGTAGTTGGTACAAAATACCACCTTTTTTTGTTCATTACGCAGTAGTATAATAAGTATATGTTTCCAAAAAAAAACGTGTACACACGTTTTTTTTTTCTGGAAACCTACTTCAGGCACTAGTCTCTCACATAGGATTAGTCGACTTACTACTATTAAAAGCCTAATATGTAATTCAATTTGTGATGAGATAATAAACGATTTTATTATTATTATTTTTATTCCTTTTTAATCAGTAAGGCTATAATTTATTTGGCGGATTATTTTTATCTGACCATTTAAAAGTCTGCCTTTGATTCAAACCAATTTAATTGTAGTGATTATATTACCTATATACTGTTTGACCATAACGGTCAAACGTAGTAATAATAGATTATTAAATATATTGTCATAGATTAGTTTCAATATATTTGAATTTTTTTTAATTGATAAACTTATATGACTGAACAGATACATATTATACTGTAAATAACTGGGAAAATGACATTGACAACCATCTAGTTTAAACAAAAATTATTTAAAAAAGGCAAAAATAAATGTTTTCTACACGTAAGATCAAATGGATCTAAAAGCTGAATCACAAGATTCCCAAATAAGGCAAATTGAGGATATTATAGATATACAAAAGGCTAACGGAAATATTAACGCTCGGCAAGTGGCATTCAATTTACCCTCATGTACGGAAAGTATAACCTCCGTAAATTTGGCAAAGAGCTTAGAATCTGGATTATCTAATGGAAATTCTAATCTGCAAAAAAATAAAACTAAGAAACAACGCTATAAAAGACATAAAAGCCCTTTGCCTGATGCAATATCCTGGCCGAGTGATTCTGATATTACAGTATTAAGAATGAAGCTTTGTTTGAAAAATACTTTAAAAGAAGAGACGGCTAATACAGTTCCGGGGGACGGCCTTCATCACAGAGATAGTTCGTCAATGGTTAATTTAGCGACACTGATGTTACAGTCGCAACCAGCTTCAAAACACAGCTTGAATTTGGAGGAATGTCTTCTACCTTTAAGTTCATGGGAGCACACAGTAAAACCAACATCAAAGGAAAAAACAGATATGCAGAAATCATCTTTCCACTTTCTCAATAAAAAATTTAAAACATTTGAAACTTTAAGTAACCATTACGCTCAAGTGCAGGTATATTCAAGCGATAATAATGTTTTTTTAGAAAACAATATGAAGTCTAAATTTGCAAGATTTTTGCGTTTATATTTTTGTCCGTGTTGTACGTGTCTGTATAAAATAGAAAAGATGCAAAAAGAGCTATCTTCAAGTTTTACATAAACGGGTATCGTTTTGAATTAAAAAAAATTAAGCAACAAAATTTCTAAACGTGTAATTAAAATTTGTTATCATATATAATTTGATTATTTTACAGAAGCCGTTGTGATAAATTGTAATGTAAGCAATGGTAATTAAAATTTTTATTGAATGTTTGAAATGCGATTTTACCAAATAAAAATGTCAAGGTAATTGTACCAATTTAAAGACACAACTTTAAAAAAAAATATTTTTCCTGTTTTCTAACATCGTACGTGCGCGTGATAGCCGTTATAACACGACCATGTGACACCTAATAATGAAGGAAATGAGTTAATATTTCAAAGTTAATTACGAAATTAACATTGGGTTCTCGTGCGGTATAAATACTGCATATATGATTTGATGGTTCTAGTTACGTTCAATAAAGATAATGTGTTTTGTGATACATTGCAGATACAACTGTGCCGATACGATCTACGTTATGTATTTTTATGTATCTCCGCAAATATGACATGTCCGAGTATATTTTAAGTTGAGGATGTTGCGTGCCCCTTGATAGCCCGTACCATAAATTTTCAGTGATTATCTAAATTAATCAAGAATTTAAATTTATTAAATTAAAATACACATACTATTATTAATATGTAAGAACAGCTCGTATTTCGAAGGAATGATCAAATAATTATATATTAGCCAAAGACAAAAGGAAACACAGGAAATGGGCATTACCATCTTCCTGATAACAACACAATAATAATAAAAACTGCGAACAAACCTATAACACATTCGCTCACGGCATTCATTCATTTTACATTCAGGTAATGAATGAATACCGTGAATGAATTCCGTGGGAACGAGCGATGGTCTCGCTGTCTGTATCAATAACGCACCACAAAAAGAATAAAATTGCAAGCAAAAAGAGAGGATTAATATATACGTACTTATATGCATATAGTTTAAGTAAAAATACCTCACCTATATTGTTTCTGGTAGCAGTCTCACTTATAAAGCTTATAAATTCACGTAAGACTCACGTAATCTCAAGATGTAGCCAGTAGTGTCTGTGATTCTTCTGATATATTGTAGGTAATACAGCAGGCAAACGCTCGACTGCGGATGGTTTCACTCGTCAGTGAGACGTAATCGTGGGACCTGGAGCGTTATCTTGCAATAAGTACTCGCTAGACTTGCTGAAGCTCGACGGCCAGGTATTATGTTTTAGGGCCGTCGCCGTGTTATAGCAAAATGAGTATAAAAAGTAAAACTAATTTATCAGGAGATCATTCGTTTAAATAAATAAAAAATCCAATTGCTTAAAATGTGAGACCATTTTTGTCACTATCTAAACTGGGCATTTCCATATTTTGTTGTCTCATTTTCTAAAATTGGAATTGTCTGCCACGCTGCCCCAATGCGTGTTAGCGAACTTCACAGGTCTTCGGAATATATATTTTTTTCTTATTTCTCAGACATGCCGGTTTCTTAACGATGTTTTCCTTCACTGTCGAGCACGTGGTAAGACAGCACTTAAAATTTCAATTAACAATTTCATTGGTGCCGGCGGGGATCGAACCCGGTTTGCTCGCGTACTGTGTAATTTACAGCGAGCGCCTACCATCTGAGCTACCACGGCTCGAAGATTAGACTGTCTAAGTTACTTAAATTTTTAAGAAAGTCTATATACTTGACTTTTACTGTAATAAGTCAGAAGAAATTGTTCCATCCATTGATAAATAAAATGTTTGTAAATATTATAAAAATGCACATTTTATAATTTATTATTAAGGAAATGAAATATACTTATACTTTATATAATATCGCAAAAATTGACATCACAAAATATTTATTTCGATAATTATTCCTCTGAGTTACGTTACTAACCTTTCAATCCTTCTAAAACTTTATGAGCAATAATTTTAGCGGGAATATATAAAATTATTAAACAGAAACGGTTATCATAAAATGTTAAACATACAACCATGGCACTTGCTCAATGAAAAGACAAAAAGTATTTAATAATGAAACTAATTTAGTAGGAAAATCGCTCAGTAGAACGTAACAAAACATTTCTGTTTTGTTACGTTCCATTAAATTAAAATTAAATTAAGTATAAAGTTAAATTAATTAAACTTTTAAAATAAAAAGTTAAACCGACTTTAAAACCAAAAATTATATAATTTCTACATAAACAGCGGTTTTTTTGCCTTTTGAGTGCATTGTTTACCTTTAACCTTTAACTTATTACTGCCTCGTTGGTCTAGTGGTTGTAGTAGTGCGACGGTTGATCATGAGATCCTGGGTTCGAATCCCGGGTCGGGCCAATTATCAATTATTGAGTTTTTCTGTCAAGAAATTCTCAGTAGCTGCCCGGAGTCAGGAAGTTGGTGGTGTCTCACCCCCGGGCCTCGGAAAGCACGTAAAGCGCAAGCGCCTAATCTCTCGCCGGTCGTGTCGGTTTACCGTCCCATCGGATTATGAGAATGAAGGAATAGAGAATGCACCTGTGCTTGCGCATACACTTGTGCACTATAATCTTGTCCTGCGCCGATGGCTAGCCTCCGTTGAGGCAGGCCGCCGTGGCCGAAATTCGGTCTGGAGGACATTATTATTATTACTATTACCTTTTTTAAGGAATATCAGTACAATTTAACAACTTGAATGTTAGGAGAAATAGAGCTTTTTAAATTGTTTCTCTTCTTTCTTTAGTATACATTTGAAAAAATCCCCGTTTTCTTTGTTTGAAATTACGAGAGCATCTGAGTTATGGTTGTTATTTTTATATTATTGCTCTTAACATAAACATCAGCTGTGACGTTAATAACTGCGAAATCAGAGTTTGCTACTTTGGGGATCCTCCAGATCCTAGAGGAATTGTGTTGTTTCTTGTTAATTATAGCAGATGAATCAGTATGTGAAGTGTATGACATTAGTTAGTGGGTATATGACCTTGTTTTTTTTAGCTGGGAAAAGGAGAATGCACCCAAATTGCTGCAAATTCATGGGAATTGTTATCTGATATGGTGCAAAATGATTGTGATTTCTCCTGCCGATAAATCATACCTGTGTGTAATGTGAATTGATTTGTTGATGCCACAAAATGTGTTGCTTGAATTTTTTCAGCCATTTTACATCTATAGCTTTCCGAAAAATAACATGATTAAAAACTCGTAAAATTTGATATTCATAACAAACTCCCGATATTTTTAATGCTGGTAAATTCAGTTGAAGTGATTGATTTTGAATGACTTCAATTTTTTTCGATAGCGGACATTTATATTCGGCGGACATTTACATTTCCTACTTCTTTAGTTTAACGTACTTTTTCATTCTACCCTATACTCCTACCCTATACTCTTTACATTCTTTCAAATTTATGGTGCAGCATAAGTTTTTTATAACATATAGAAAGTGTTAAAATTTTTCATAATCTTGTATTTCTTGAATGCATGAAACAAGGTTTCAATGTTGTTGTGCTTAACGCACAGGCATGTTTCTTTATTCTGGACTGTTGAGGACAGTACAAAAAAGGCTTATTGATTAAAAAAGTATCGAAGCTATATTTTCCTCCTTATTCACGATATATTTTTATAAATTAGTCACAGTATCGGTTAGGTATCGAACCTGTGCCTTCTTTTTATTAAATCTATGGCATTACTTCTCTCCAGCTGTCATTCGACTAATGTGGTCTCTATACATATATAAAATTATTCTATTTCTTTTCTTAATTTATTCGGCTTCATACTTTTTTGCTTTTTATAGAAGAGGGGACAAACGAGCATGCGGCTCACCTGATGTTAAGTGACTACCGCCGCCCACGAACAACTGCACCATCAGGGGAATTGCAGGTGCTTTGCCGTCCTTTTAGAAAGGAGTAAGCTCTTTTCTTGAATGTTCCTGAGTCGTTTCGATCCGGGAAAATTGCCGGTGGTAAACAATTCCGCAGAGAAGTTGTACGAGAAAGAAAACTCCTAGTAAAACGCACAGTGGTGGATCATCCAGCATCCAAATGGTGTGGCACTCAGCGCTGGACGCGGTCAAGTGGAAGGAGCTGGCACTGGGGTACCCTGGCTCAGAGATGAGAACAGTCGGTATGAAATACTATCTCGTTCTGCTGAGAGCGCCAAGTTTTTTGGAGGCCAATTTGGCCTTCCAAGTCCCTTTAGGCCTCAGAAACAAAAAATTTCTTATTGTTTTCTCACGCTCTTATTAAGGACAATATTTTGAATGGCTTGCTTTTCTTTTACAGTATTGCTAACTTTATACGAATTTAACGTAGCTTCTGACACCTCACTTGCTTGCAACTGTAGGTAATATTTATTCTTCAAGTTTATGAATTTTGTTTTATGTTACTTACATTTTTTGACACCCCCCACTTGTGGGTGTCGTAGGTGACATGGGGAAACAAACCAGGATAATTATGGTCAGCAGTGAAATTCTTCCAAATAATAACTAGAAAAAAAAAAGAACCGCGGCTGCCAATCCGCGTGCCAAGCACGGCCATTATGGCAAATATCCCTCTTATTAAGCAACATATGGTGGTGCTTTGATTGGCTGGTAACGAATTAAAGAGATAACAAATCTCTATGATTTGTAATCACTGGTCTGGTTACAAATTAACAATTGAAAAATATGCAAATCTAAAATGATTCCAGTGGCTACCTCGAGGAGTGTGGGCTGTGGGTTTGTTTATAAATTTAGGAATGATTCATAAGCACAACTTGACTCCCACATAACCTTCATGAGTTATATAGACATCGAACTTCTTTTTGCCTTTTAGAAAACCTTCCTGTAATGCAATAATTTAAAGTTCGAACCTCCATTAACGTTATGCAAATGATTGTTTTAAATACAAAAAGGTTTTGAAAAAAAGTTAATATAACTAAATTTAATTTTGTAACTATTAAAAGCCATCGCTTGACTACTATCTTAACTGATTGTGAGTAAAGATGTAGATGAAAATATAGCTGGTGCTAGTAAAGCGCACCAACAAAAGCCTATTCACTCTTGCCTTGAGCACACCCACATTGTAAGCAAGTTGGAAAACGGATACTGGTACATTATTCTACTTCATTCAAAGACGTCTATGTCACAACAATAATAAAACCGTTTGGTTCAAATGCGTGGTAT